TTGGTGTTGATTTTGGTTTTGTTTTGGGATTGGGATTGGTTTAGGGATTGGTTTTGTTTTGGTTTTGGGATAGGTTTTGGGATAGGTTTAGGGATTGGTTTAGGATTGGTTTTGTTTTTGTTCTTGGCTCTGTTTTTGTTTTTGTTTTTGACTTTTGTTTTGTTTTGTTTTGCTTTTGCTCTTGATTTGCTTTTGATTTTTGTGCTTCGGTGTCTGGTGTTGGTGTTGCTGGCTAGACAGGGTAGGAAATTGCACCCGAGGTAATATGGCTCGCGTCCAGAGTATTAGTGGTGCGGCACCGGCTGAAGGCCGGCGGTGGATTCTGGAGCCGGGCCCTGGTCTGAGTTTCAGAAACCGCATGGTCTTGTTTTTTAAAGCTATTTTCTCATCGGCAAATATTTCGTGCTTCTTTGAAGAAAGCCGCAAGAAATATATAGCCAGGGAAATTGCGGTCCGGGCCAAGCCAGAGCTCTATTAGTAGATACAACGACGCCGCGGTCAAGCCAGAGCCAGTAATTACCAGGACGCCTGGCCACCGCTTTCTTGGTGTGGTTGTCCCTGCCTCGTTTCCAGAAAATTTTCATTCTCATCATTTAAAACAAAACGTCGACTCCCTCGCTGTCAGCGTGAAGCATAGATCACAGCCAAAAGCACCCATGTAGAAAAGACATAAAACTGGTCTCTATAGTATCGATGAACGAGGCCGAATAACGATGATTCACCCACTGCCACATAGAAAAGACGGCATCATTTGAAGGACCACTGACCATACTAATATCATGCGCAAATCAGAGCCAGGAGCTTCTGCCACAGCCACCAACATTTGGAGTTGTCTTGTACGCCTTGCTACCCAATTACGGACCGTCAGCCTTTCTTACCACCAGTGTAAATACTGGGCCTATTCTCAGGCAGGTAATACTCTACGTGGTTTAGGTGTCAGTAGTTTTGAGCCGCGGCCTGGCTCTTTTCCTCCCTCTAATTATTTCAAAAAGGCTTTTCATAGCTCATTTCTGGCCCGTACGAAAGAACAGGGTCCTAAAACGAGCTTTGGGCGCTCAATTGGCCGAACAATTGAAACATACGTCACATCTCTTATTCATCCAAGACGCCCCATCACATTTGATGCAGTTGATTATGCTACAGAGAGCGTGTTGGACACCAAAGGCCAGACTGATTTGGAGCCTCGCGGCTAGCATATTCGGCTTGCTGGCCTACAGGCTCGTCGGCCGTGCTGAAAAACACAAACACTTCACAAACATGCATTCTCAAACGTCGTGAATGTTACCACTCACTGACTGGCTGGTGCCTGGACTAGGCAAGCCCGAGATGGAAAGTAGCAAGCCCGCGTACACTAGGCGGCTTGCCAAAAAAAAAAAAAAAAAGAACAGAATAAAAAACGTCTTCAGCCAAGCGCCTTGCGGTGATATAAAAGAACACCATACAAAGCGTAAATGGACCTACAATGATTTATTCAAACACGCATCTGTACGGGGCTTTCAAATGTCGCATGTCTGCACAACAGGGTGATGACCTGATCACAAAAGCCCTCTACTGATCGAGCCATTTGGAATCACAATCTGCACCACCAGCCAACAACACAATTAAACAAAAATGAATCGGGCGCGTCGTATCTCAGAGAACCTTCCAAACAGGCCGCCAGAGTACATACACCATACGCACGTGGCAATGCACAAAGCGCCGCATGCCAGCCGGTTTTATGCAATCAAGTCTGACACACCCGCCTCATCCCAAAATGCCATTCTGCACATACATCGGTATGGCTTCTGTCCGGACCTCCGTCAGTAAAGCATAAAGCCGGTCCTGCACACGGCGGCCCTTCCGACTCCGCTGCAGCTCGGTTCGCTGCGCGACCCGAGGTCTATACCCACCAGGCAGGAGAATGCGGGGATCTCTGACCAGCCCAAATGTATATAAACCGAAGCGCCGCCCGGGCATGGCCCTTTTTCTCGGCCACGGGATTTCGGGACTTTTTTGGTTTTTCCCTCTCACAACAACAAGAAGTCTTCTGCGTCACGTGACATGTCGGTGGCAGACGAGATCCCCGCTATTTTCCTAGACAAGATCTCGCCGCGGGCCCTCGAGACAATACAAAAATGTAAGGACTTTGTCAACGACTACTGCCTCCCCGCAGATACCATCTACCACGGCCAGGTTTCCGAAGATCCTCAAAAACGCTGGGCAACCACGCCTCCAGTTTTGGACAGGCTCAAGGAAAAGGCACGGCTGTTGGGGCTCTGGAACTTGTTTCTCTCAAAGCAATATGCCGAGGGCGGCGGGTATACTAACCTCGAGTACGGAATCATGGCGGAGTATTTGGGCCGGTCGTTCACGGCGCCCATGGCCACAAACATGGCGTCTCCAGATACAGGAAACATGGAGATCTTGGCCCGCTACGGCACAGCGGAGCAGAAGCGCACGTGGTTGCAGCCGCTTCTCGACGGGCAGATCCGGTCGGCGTTTCTCATGACGGAGAAGGGCACCTCTTCGTCCAACGCGTTGAACATTGCGTGCAGTGCGCGGCTCAACGGGCGGGGAAATTACGTGTTGAACGGCGTCAAGTGGTTTGCTTCCGGGGCAGGCGATCCGCACTGCAGCGTGTGGCTCGTCATGTGCAAGACGGGCGATCACAAAGACAACGTGTATAGAAACCACTCTGTGTTGGTTGTGGACGCAAAGCGGGCATTGGCCACCGGCAAGGCCCGCTTGGTGCGGCCGTTGTCTGTTTTCGGATACGACGACGCGCCGCACGGCCACTGCGAGGTTGTCTTTGAAGACTTCGAGATCCCGGACGACGCCCGGGACCACGCGGTCTTGCATAGGGAGGGCGCGGGCTTCGAGGTTATCCAGTCCCGCCTAGGCCCGGGCAGAATCCACCACTGTATGAGGTGCATTGGTGTGGGGGAGATTGCTTTGATGCGCGTGGTGCATCGGGCCAACCACCGGCTCATTTTCGGCCGCCCGTTGAAAGACCGCGAGTCGTTCTTGACGGCGTATGCGCAGTTCAAGATCGACATCGAGCGCTGCAGATTGCTAGTGCTCAACGCAGCACACAAGATCGATGTGGGCGGGCCCAAGAGCGCCATGCGCGAGATAGCTGTGGCCAAGATCGAGACCCCGCGCACGATCTTGAAGATTCTTGACTGGGGCATCCAGATGTACGGTGCCGAGGGTGTGTCCCAGGACACGGAATTGGCCCGCTCATATGCCTTGAACCGGACGCTCCGCATCGCCGACGGGCCGGACGAGGCCCATTTGGGCCAGTTGGCTCGCACTGCGGCAAAGCGGTTCTCGGAAGCTGACGATTTCTTCGAGAGGGTGGAGAGCCAGCGGGCCGTCGTGGCCAAGATGTGAGCGGCCACAAAAAAGTGGGTATTGGAGGTGTCCGCCAGCACGAAGCGAAACTGTGTTTTGGATCGATGGGTACTGGAAGGGAAGTTGAAAGGAGAAAGCTTGTGGCTGTCTGCTGTGGCCAGTGCGCCGAAGATGGATAAAACTCGAGTCTTTGTTCTCATTTTTATCCTGTGGTTTAAAGGGCTCATGAACCGGGATCGGGCGGAACTACCTTCGTAACAGACTCGACGCAAGAGCTATATGGTATGTCTTTTTGGCCATGCTATGGCTCGAAGAGAACGGGTGTTTCTAGCCGGGTGTACATTCTTGAGTTGTAGTTTACGTTATCAAGGCTATTCTTCCTTGAGCTTCTTGTTCGTGTTAGCCAGATTTGAGACCATTGTCTGGCCTCTACCAAGTAAGTCTGTTTGTTCTTGGGGCCTTCCGAAATTTTACTGCAACCTATTTACAGTGGTTCCCTTAACTTCGATTTTTGAACCTAATATTCGGGAGTTTTCTATGATATTTAAAGTTTCAAGTGATGGCTGATGAAGTATTACAGAAGCATCAAAGGAAGAAATTCTGTGCATCAGATTTTGCAAAGACATACATAAATTATTCCATGCGTAGATTAAGCTGAAACTTTCAAAACCGCTTACGCGTGCTCGATCAATTGAGTTTGCAGTGTTTATAGTTTGGATTTTTCATGGGCCATCAAATACTGGGAACCTTTCTATATGTTGCCCCTCTTCACATGCAAAGTGAAATGACAGTTGATTTTCGTCCAAATGGCTCGGATTAGACCTGTGGAGTAGATGCTTTGATTTGTTGGAATATTGCGAGATGCTGTTTTAGATTCATGTTGTTATGTTACCTACTCCCGCTCCTGACCCCGCTATTATCAGTCTACTTTTTTAGAATAACTTGAGGAAGAAAGCCAAAGAAGTCAACCATCATTCTAATTGTGTATGTCTAATCCGATTTTTTCGTGTGAACATTTAAAACACAAATACTAAAAAAAACCTTCCTTATTTTCAATTACTGAATTGGCCATTATCTTCGTTTAGTTCCTATTAGAAAACTAGGCCCATATGTGAAAATTAGGTCGAGCCATATCATTATATTCTACTGTAATATAAATCAGTCTCGCTCGGGATATTCATAAAACATGGACAATCAGGAGTTTTTTTGTAGTATATCTAATTTCTTTTCCTGTATATTACCAAGCACTATTTGGTTCTTGGGTAACCGAAAAAGACTTTTGCCAACCTAGTGATCCTTAATCTCGATGTTGATGTAAAAAAGACATTTGGGTGACGTATGAAAGATCGGTACAATGCTTACTATGGAAATTCTGATATCACTCAAGTTGGGTTAGATGAGATCAAATATTTTGGAGATATACGCAGTCGCATATGACGATAGAGAGATATTCATACAATTTTGATCAGACTATTCTGACCATGTTGTTTAAGCGTCTGCCTCAGCCACGAGAGCCTAGCAAGCTGCTTAAATCCCATGAAATTACTCGAATGTTGCTGCCTATAAAGTATTATGCAACTGAGGATTATGCCAATCAAGGCCCGAAGGAGGGGCATGGAAATCAAGCATGAAAACACCAATTCAAGCAAAGTAAAGAAGATATTGGCAGAAAACATGGCACTAGAGCACTCCGGTAGAGCATTCCAGCTAGGAGCGTGTCAACGTGGAATATGTTAATACAGCTTACTACTCAAAAGTCATTGAAGAAGAAGTCAAAAGAGCATGCGATTGCAGCATTTCAGGATCTCATTCACCAGGAGAGCATTCTGGAAATAGCTCGTTGATGAGGTGTGCCAACGGCGCATCTTCTGCCTTCTTGAACCTACTCTGATTGCATGAATCGAGCCCCCATGGCTACTGCAATGAAGGATGGACCCAGAGACTACATATGATGTCGGGCGAACCCTTCAGCGGCAGGCGTGGGAAAAAAAATCGTCGTTAAATACATATCATGCAAGAAATGAAAGGAGTGTTCCTAGTACAAGTCGGCCTTGTGGAAGTCGTGGATGAGGCCGCGTTTCAAGTAGTTCCTGGCCCTGGTCTTCTCGTCTCGCACCCTCTGCAGCTGGCGGGCCTTCAACTCGCGCTCGGCCTCCTCGAACGAAATCTGCTCGCGCTCATACAAGTGGAAATCCTCCCTGTCTATATCTAGCTCGCCGAGCATCACGACGTTCTCGCCTCGCACCATGAACACGCCGCGCGGGGCCTCGGCAAAGCGCTCCGGGCCCGGCGCTTGTTTGGGCGGCAAGTAGATTCGCTCCAACGTGTCCTGCAACACCAAGTTGGCAAACTGGTCGAACGTCCGCAAAATGCCAAACACACTGCGGCCGTCTCTCAACAGCACGAAGATCTTGCGGTCCACGGACCCGACAATTGCAGCGGCAGTGGTGAAGGCATAGGACTCCAAATACAAGTCCTCGGCGTTCGACGAGCCGCCCAGTTCCGACAGGCTGTGCTGGCTGTGGGGTGCCGAGCTGTGCTGTGGGTTGGGGTGCTGCAGGGAAGGCGACACCTGCTGCGGGGAGGACGACATTTTATGGGTGGGTGTGGGCGGCGCAGCGGAGGAGGGGCAGGGGGGCTGTGGAATACACCGAAAGGGTGGGGGCAAATGTCCGTGGCTTCTGGCGGCCTTAGTTAGCGGGACGTTTTCCTTCACTTTTTGCGGGCGGGATTGGCGCGCGCACGCCCTGCGCGCGGTGGAGCCGTGGTTGATTAGGCGGCCTTGGTGCGCCTTGGTATTTCGGACTGGGGCGGGCGAATTGGGATGGTCGGGCTTTGTTCTTGGGGGTGTTTTTTGGGGGTGTTTTCTGTGGGTGTATTTTTCTTGTGGGTATTTGGGCTGGGTGCTTTTTCTGGGTTTTTTTTGGATTTGGACTGTTTCATTTTGGAGCTGTAGCATTTTGGAGCTGTAATAATTTGGGGCTTTATTATTTTGGAGCTGTAATATTTTGAAGCTCTAATATTTTGAAGCTCTAATATTTTGAAGCTCTAATATTTTGAAGCTCTAATATTTTGAAGCGCTAATATTTTGAAGCTCTAATATCTTGGAGCTCTAATATTTTGGAGCTGCAGTATGTTGGAATTGTAATAATTTGAAGCTACATCTTGGAGCTGTAATAATTTGAAGCTGTAATAATTTGGGGCTTTAGTATTTTAGAGCTCTGGATCTGAAGATTGGGGCGTTGGAGCTCTGGGCTTAGAATCCCAATATTTTCTGGACCTGTATTATATCAAAGCTCTGGAGCCGAAGCCTCGGGCCTCGAGGAATTATGTATGGGAATTCCCGGAGCTGTATACTTTAGAAACCTCGCAGTTTGGACGTGCTTGGGGGCGCGGCCTGTGGATCTGGGAAGTCCACGCCCGATCGCGTTAGTATTACTTGAATGATTTTGGGCTTTTGGGGTAAGAAAGCTGGTCCACTTCGGGCCTTGTTCCACCGCCGTTTGGGGTCGTATGTGAGCAGTTTTGCTGAATGGCTACTGGTTTTCGCATGCACCATGCCGCAATCTTGTAGTATCTAATGGCTCACTATGGTGCAAGAGCAAATTTCGGCACCAGTATTGTCCGGGTATTATGAGGCTTATTTTTGCAACGCCATCAGCAGCACTCAGCCAGCAGCACGGAAATCCAAAAAAATGCCGGCACTCTTGGGCGCTTTTTCATTGCAAGACGCAGGAGTGGTGTAAATTTGGGTGCGAAATTCCTGGCCTCAAAGAACAGAACCTTCCATTGAGAATTGGAATGCCATACAGCGGCCCAGCAGGGGTGTAAGGAACCAATCCACCAATTCTGATCACGTAATTGCTGACATAGCTGCTGCCACCTATTATCACCGTATCGTCTATATTCTGTCACAGATCCACCATCACCTATTTACTCTTGCCTATGTTCCGTCACTTATTTTCCGTCACCTATCTTCCGCCATCTATTTCCGTCACCTATTTTCGGCCATATATCTACCGTCACATAGCTCTCGCATATACATCACGTATCTATCACATATCTATCACATATCTATCACATATCTATCATATATCTATCATATATCTATCACGTTTCTTCAATAGCATATCTACCACTACCATGACATAACTATGACATATCTACCATCACATATCTATCACATATCTACCATCACATATCTACCATCTCATATCTACCATCACATATCTATCACATATCTACCATCTCATATCTACCATCACATATCTACCATCTCATATCTACCATCACATATCTATCACATATCTACCATCACATATCTACCATCTCATATCTACCATCACATATCTATCACATATCTACCATCACCTATTTTCTCTCACCCATTTTCTCTCACCTATTTTTTCTGCCTATCTACTCTTATTTACTCTCACCGATTTTCGTCACCTGCGACTGCGAAAAGCATCTCTACAGAGCCATGCAAACAGAGCCATGCTAAAAGACAAAACCACCAGAAGCCGCCTCCGTCCACTCCAGGCGCCATCCAAAAATCCCGGCCCTGGCCATCCCACGCCACGAAAAAGCAAGTCACAAAATCGCCCAGCCTTCGCCCGCCGCTCTGCTCGGCGCGCCCGTGGCGTTTTTCTCATTTTCATTTCACCTTTTTTATATTCAATACTCGCATCGCGATGCGATCGCCCCAAACCTCAACTGTGCAAACTGGATCCCCCATTCACCCGAGCTGCGCCCACCACTGCCGTGACACCTGTCTCTGAAGCCGCCATAAGTGCCCCCAGTAAAAAGAGCCAGAACCGCGGCCACTGCTATTCTCACACTACCATGTCCTTCTACCACTACAAAGATTACATAGAAGAGGGCGATATGGTCTTGGCCTTCATCAGCAGAGGCCTCCTCAAACCGTTGACCGTGACCAAGGGCGAGTTTCTCAACACGCGGTTCGGCAGCTTCGATCACGACCGCATGATCGGCATGAAATACGGCTCGCAGATGGGAGGCATCAAGGACAAGGGCTTCGTCCATCTCCTCCATCCAACGCCCGAACTTTGGACCGTGTCGCTTCCCCACCGAACCCAGATTGTGTATACGCCGGACTCCTCGTACATCGTGCAGCGCCTTGGCATTTCCAGCGGCTCGCGGGTCATCGAGGCCGGCACGGGAAGTGCGTCCTTCACCCATGCGTTTGCCAGAACAGTGAGCCACGAGGGCAAGGTGTTCACATACGAGTTCCACGAGCCGCGCTACTTGGAGGCCAAGAGGGAGTTGGGCCAGCACGGGCTCTTGCAGGAGAACTGCGTCATCACGCATAGAGACGTGTGCAACGACGGCTTTGACATTGCCGGCTTGCCGGATACAGATCTCGTGGAAGGCCGGCTCAGTTGCGACGCCGTGTTCCTTGACTTGCCCTCGCCATGGACCGCGATCCCCAACTTGAAATCCGTCATTGCGGCCGACAGGCGCGTGGGCATCTGCTGCTTCAGCCCGTGCATCGAGCAGGTCGACAAGACCATCGAGGCTCTTGAGAAAAACGACTGGACCGACATCGAAATGGTGGAGATTGCCGGCCGCCGCTGGGAGGCCCGCAAGGAGATGGAGCGGCACGTGCAGGACGTCATCAAGCGCTTGAAGCACATCCAGGGCAGAAAGTCCCAGGGGATCGAGAGCAGACGGCTGGTGAGGGTGGAGCTGGCAAGCACGGCTGGCGAAAAGCGCCCGTTGAGTGAGGTGGAGCAAGACTCCGCGCTGCCGGAGCCGCACGGCTCCACGGGGCCCAGCTTCAATCCCTTTGGCAAGGGGCTCCGCATCCGCGAGGGCGACGAGCAGTTCAACTGGAAGCAGGTGACGAAGATCGAGTCCGAGGTCAAGACGCACACGTCGTACTTGACGTTCGCGTACCATGTGCCCAGCAAACAGGACGGGGTGCCCGGGCAATAGCTCCAGTTTGCAGGCGCTTTTCGTATGTGCTGCTTGCCTGGTTGGAGGCTGGGAGTGATATAGAGCTGGTTTCATGCAAGAAACCCACGACATGTGTACCCATGCCATCCCCACTTTGCTACCGTAGACTTGGACATTGACCCAGCTGAGATGCACATCTTTCCGTTGTTTGTCTCAAGGCCAGTGGTTCGAAGCACGCGACGCTCAGCTAGTCGGAGCGGATGGCCTGTGTGACGAAATTCTTGTTGCTTCGGTCCTGCGACTTACTTAGCGGCTTTTATCAAGCATGAGGCAAAGCCGACGCCTGCCGGTCAAGCTGGGTGTTGGCTTTCTACGACTATCAGTATTGGTGTTCTTCATTAGTTCATATACTTGGCTCGGCATTGAGCCTGAAGAAGCTGCGAGCAATGCGTGCTGCTCACGGCTCCTTTCTGGAGCTCGGCTAGCCTAATAACGTGGCCAAGACCCTATTAAACCCTTCTTCCAACAGTTCACTTTACGACCGAGTCGTCAAGACTGTTTCAAATCACGGGGCTTTCTTTTTCTTATGAAGGATGACGATGTTGGGCGTGGCGAGTATGGAAGAAGTGCCACATTCCCACTCAAGCAGATCGTTATCCATACTTGCGGGCCCTGCCATGAAAGGAGCCCTGCTCGAATCTACATTGGGCTCGGCATTAGAATTGGAATGGGTGCTGTGACTATTTCCTTGGGGTTGCAAGCCACTGTTTCTTTTTTCGGTACTCGTTTTTTTAGACACAATTGCCTCTGGAGTCGAAGTTTGTCTCCATGCGTCCACATTTTCCTTGTGGAGAATTGGTGCTGAACCTCTGATGGTTTTAGAGTCTTGGACAGATGTTCTTCTGTGTCTCCGGAGCTTCCGGGAATAAGCTAGGCTGAACTCGCTGTCGATAGCGGTCATGTTTCTGAGCAAAATCGAAAAAAAGAGCTAGAAAGTCAAGGTGTATGCTACAATTGAATTTTGGAAGACAACTCACAATGGAGTATTTGTGTCCATGTCAGTGTAAATTTGAGTGAGCACCTGCAAGGTCATTCCTCGCCGCATCCTTTGTGGCATGTTCCTTAGAATGCCTTCCCCAACAGAGATATATCATGTGCTGAGTCCTCCTTAGACCTTCACAATTTTAATTTAGGAGTTTGAGATCAAAAGTTTAATCAAGATGTAATTGGCGGATGCGTTTTTCTTCACACAAGCGTTGACTCGTATCCGCGAGTTCTGTATTTGATAATTTCGACATATCAACCTTTTGACGAGCTACTGGTAAAGTTTATAGGTTTATGACTGCAGAAGGAGAATATGAAGCTGAAGAGCTGAATATGTACCAACCGTCTGTTCCGGGAGAATCCGCGCTTCTGATATTTCACTAAAGTTTAAGTCTGTGAATTAGACAGGTTCTGACTCCAGAGCTATAGATTTAATTTCAGACCTCATCTGTGGATTTAAGGAAATGCCATCAAATGAAATTTGTAATGCGATTTCTGTATCCAAAAGTTGGTGAACACTAAGTCCTGCTTCGTCTCCAAATGATATATATATATATTCATAGAGATTACGAAAAGAGGAGGTTTCAATTACAATTTTCGAATTGTTTGCTGCCAATTAGTTCTTTGTTTTATAGTCCAATAAGACATCATGCTTAGATAGATAATCTTTTTGAGAGATTCTTTTCCAACAGCATGAAAGAACGACAAAAGCGAACCTCATATAAAGCGTGGTATACAATTATCAAAGATTTATAGGCGTTTCTCAGAAAAATATCATATGTCTAACAAAATGCGTTCAAATTAGTTATTTATTACTGGATGAGCAACACAATTCATCATTCCGTACAAGAGCTTTTCGCTCACAAAATAGCCGTCGCTAGTTAACTCCGAGCTTTTGTATTGCGACTTTATGCGGCTAAATTGCGGCGCATTTTCAACATATTCCTAGAAAAGTTTATAAATAGCCCCTTTGGTCTTAGTCTCTGAAAACTTAATTCAACTTTGTTTATAAATTTGTTATTTGAAATTACTCTCGGTCACTTGTCTGAAGGGGAAAGCAGATCCAGCCAAAACTCTCTTGAGCAGTTTGGGCAAGAACACGAACGCAAATTTATACCCACTGTTCCTCTAATCAGATAAATATTTCATAAAAAAAAAGCTGTTGTAATAGAGATGAGAATAATCTTATGCTAGCATCCTGGTGAACTGTCCACATGGCATAGTGAAAATTCTCTAATTTTGCCAATTGTTTTTGCAAGAGATCTGGAGTCATAAGAGATTTAATAGGACAATTGATTCTGGGACAAAGCTTGTAGGTATTCACTTTCCCACTGATACTCTCAAAGACTAAACAAAACAGATTCTCGTTTACACTAGCTTCAAAAGAGAGATCTACTATCTGAGTAAACCCAGATAAGCTTGCCAAAGAAGACTCCAACAAAAACATCAAACGGTAGAATTTTCTTTCCACTACTAGATGATTTAATGTTCGACGAAAGGTTCATCAATGCCAAAGGCTCATATCTTCAGTCCGTTGTTGGCGTAATTTCTGGCATTCCAAACAAGCTTCCAACTTTACTTTAGCATTTCGAAACTATTCTTAATTAGAAATCATCTTGAACTATCCTTTTCAGTTAATCAGTGATCCGATGTTTGTCTGATTTGATAATTTGAGTGATGTCTTCCAAGTCTTTGGGAGCTCAATTGAGTTCTATCGCTCATAAATAAGCATATACATCAGTCCAACAACACTTATACGCTAGGGCATATTTTAAGAAACTCATAATGTTGTGTGTGACATTCTGATCTTTGTATGAGTCTCTTGCAAAATCGTTATGTCAGAGTAATGAATTCTGACGATACCTTTTTCATCGCAGGTGTCATTTCCACAATCTGAAAATTTTGAACGCTTGGGCCGAAAAAACGATCCGTGAATTGAATCTACTAAACAAAAAAAGATAGTCGTTCATGTCTTAGACAAACAATCATTTTGATCAGACACTATTCTGTACAATTTTGATCACGTTTTAATACTTTTATGTCCGAAATTGTATAAGAAATGAAGCCTAAAGGCAATACAATATTTAAATGAACCACAGGAATATAGGCACAATACATTAGTGCTGATAAACTGCTTCCAAAAAAATAATTGATTTCGCCCAGGATCGAACTGGGGACGTTCTGCGTGTTAAGCAGATGCCATAACCAACTAGACCACGAAACCAATTGATGTTTTGTTGTTATGATACGACATGAGCCAGATTATAGATTCTGGGCATCCTGTATAATACGAAGGACGAAGAGTCTAAACATTCCTGATCGGGGTTACCCCTCACCTACTGTATAGAAGGGTTCCGAACTATAAAGGAGCGTGAGGCTGAGACATCCCTGAAGAAGGATAACACTTTTTAGAGATCGAGAATACGACAGATAGACTAGGCCTATCCACTAAGGCTGAACTATCTATAAACCGATCTACTCGTAGTTTAAGAGACAGCTCCAGGCTGTTTCATAATAGTTGGTAGCGCAGCTTAGTTACGACCATGGGAGAAACTACAATGAGCGCAGAGACAAAT